GGCGGCTCTGTATGGCATGTGGCTGGTAACTTTTCTCCTGCTCTACTCGTTGCACGGAGGTACGTGTACGTGTCCGCGTCCGCGACCGCCCCGGGCGAGCCCGCTCCCGCCGCGCTTGTTGGACGGCGCTGCCGCTCCCCCGTCCTCGGCAATCCCGGGCTAGTCCGGACCTCGACAGCCCGCGCTGCGACGTGCGGCAGCCGGCGCTTCCAGAGCGGGCACAGGGATAGGGAGCAAGTTTCATTATAACGATAGCATCGAGGAGCTGAACGGCTTCGTGCACGACAAACCTCTCGGATGCTTGGTATTGCTGGGCGTGCAAGCACGGCCGGCTAACAGAGCCAGGGCTGGGGCGGGAGCAGAAAGCAAACCCGGGACCGCCGGCGTCCAGGAGCCCCGCGCCCGGCTGGGGCTTGGGGCGGGTAAAAGACACACGAGCGGGTGGGTGGCAAAGGCACGGGAACGGGAGCTCGGCAGAAAGGGGGTCGGTGGCTGGCAGCAGCCATGACAATGAAGGGGACGAGATGCACATGGGAGGCTGTAGGCGAGCAGCAAACGAGTCAAAATCCAGATATTCTGGAAATCACCCCCCGAAGGCCGGAGCCGGAGCCCTTTGCCTGCTGGCTCTCGCCGGCGCTTTGTTCCATTATGTTCAAGTATTAAAAGCAGCGAAGGATGCAGCTTCCATTTTTTTAATTTCTCCACCCCCCTCGCCCCCCGGCATGGTACAGCGCTCATTTATCTTGGCAAGGCAATGTGGAGTCCTCATTAAATCCATAGAGGAAGTGCCCAGCGTCCTTATTTATCGCGGGGGCTGCCGAAATTTTACAATGCTAGGGGCTGTGATGGCAAGGTGTCCAGAGCCCTCGGTCTGCACCAGCCGGGGGGTAAAGCTGCACATGCCTTTAAACGAAGAAATCAATACGCACAAGCCTAATATTTTCTGGTGCTTGTTTCCTCCGGGGAGGAATAGCAATTGCTTCTTGTGGTGTTTGCCCGGTGCGGATGGGCTCCGTCCTCGCCCCGATGCTAGATAGAGAAGGGGGCTAGGGATGGGGGATCTGCTAGTCTTGCTTTGGGCGCCCCCAATGTGCCATGCGTTTCTGCCGTGGTGCCCTCATTTCTGCCCGCGTGGCACTGAGGTTCAGAGATGGATGCGCTGTCCTCATTCAAAACAGCTGACGAGCTCAGCGTGAGGATAACATTGGAGGCGTCTCTTTGTGGCAAGAATTCTCCTGACATGGCAGCATGTGAGTTTTGAGATGTGCACGGCTTACGGCGAAATCTTGCACGCACCCAAATACACCGCCTGCCAATAAGTGCCCCTTGCTAGGAGGCAATGAAGCCCAAACGTGTTGGTGCAGTAGGAAAGCACTCGCTCTTCACCAGGGGCTTGACACGGGGGAGTTCAGGGCCAGTATTTTTATGCACCTCGGACTCTGGTTCCAAGAACCTGTTTTTATTTATTCGTTTTTGAAAGAATTTTCCCTCCGAGGGCGTGAGACCCATCACCTGCAAACACCCTTTGCTGCCTGGCTGCAAGCCCTCTCTAGAAAGCCAGATCCCAGATGTGCACCAGTGTCTGCTGCCCAGGCCAGGAATTGCATTGAAAGGCCCGTTTAATTTCTGCTCCGTAAGGAACACAAGGGGGAGGGGACGCTCATCACAACTAGGTGGGGAAGGGATGAAATCAGCTGTTTCAGTTCTTTCCTTTGTCTGTCCGTGTTATTGATTGATTTGTTTTACTTCGTCCAACTTGCGGCCGTGCGCGGGGAATTCTGCTCGCCGCTCTTCTACCGAGCGCGCAGGCTGCGGGCTCATGAAAGTCATGGGCTGACGGCTTAGGACAAAGCCTAGCAGCTGGCGTGCGCGCACCTCCGCTGAATCCTCTCCCTCGCCTGCCTCGCTCTGCTTCTGGTTGGTTCAGTCCTGGGCCTCCCTCGATGAGAGACTTGGCATGGCCCTGAAATGTGTGTTGGCTCAGAGATGATGCCAAGTGTCCAGCCGAGACTCGGGTGAAACTTGCCAGACTGACTGTGTACGTGACGTAAGCAGGACTGGAAATCAGGTCTCCGGAGGTGGCAGGCGGAGGAGGCTAGCCGGGCGTGATCCATTCATCTCGCTTTCCTCTGCCCCCGGCAGCATCTCCGTGCAGGGGAGAAGCAGGGGATGCCATTTGCAGTGCCCCACGGAGCTCAGCATGCCCTTCTCTCCCTTGCAGTGGGTGCTGCGCTCCGTTCCTTCTGGCGCAACGCAGGCGTGCGCCTGCCTGGTTGCAGCGTGTGCTACTGGCCCCTGCGGCAGAGGTGGCAGAGACGGTGCCTTGTCAGCGCCTCTGCTTGTGCGCTCGGCGTTGGCTGCTCTGCTCCCAGCACTGCCGCGTGGGGCTGTGCCCCTGGCTCTAAATCCTACACGCTGCGCAGGCCAGCCCAGAGCCTGCTTGGATGAAGATGCCATCGGGAGTGGTGTCTGTCCTTCCAGGAGAATGCATGCCCTCGGCGTGGGCCGGGGGTCACTCCTGACCTCTCGTCGCTGTTCATTTTCACGTGCTCCCGTTGAAGCTCAGGAGCGCTGAAGCTAAGGGCGTTTGGAGTCTTTGCACTGTAGCCATCGAGCCCTGGACTCTGTCCTCTGTCACTTCCTGTCCTAAACTCTCCTTTGAGGCTGCTACGTGCTGCTGTGCTTCCTTTCCAGAGGTGGCTGCACTGCAGAGGTGGAGAAAGCATGCGCTTTGTACACGAGCTTCGGTCTGCAAAGTGCCCCGTGCCTCGGCAAGCTCCCTGGATGTGTGCATCGGCGACGAGCTGATGTCCTAGGCCCACTGTGGCAGGTGGTGAAAGCCACGTTTCTCTGTGGGTTGCAGAGAAATACTGAACCCCGTCCCACACTGGGCCCATCCTTGTGCCATGGGTCTGGGGTTGCTTATCAGGCATTCTGGCTTTCCTTCTTTGACATGGAAAATGCCTCTTGTGAGCTGACCTCCCGAGTGATTAAGGCTGCTTGTTTTAACGGACTGCGCATGCCCCTCACGTGCCCTGCGAACAACTGTTTGCCCGGGTGCGTTAAAGGTGGCAGTGCTGGCACCACGCATCTGCTGTCACTTCTCTGCTGCTTATCTCCTTGTCCCTTCCACGAGCGTCCAGGTACCAGGGGATGTCATGTCCTCACTCGGCCAGCTCCAAGGTCACCCTCTTCATGAGGAGGAAAGTTAGTAAAATTGCCCTGAAGCCGAGGGCTTGGGATGCAGGTCATTCCATCCAGGCACGACAGGACTTCTTTGGCATCACCAGCGTGCCGGAGGGGCCCGGGGTAGCGGCTGTCCTGCTCGATTCCAGCCGCAGTTCAAAGCGGGGGATGCCTCTCTGTGTGGGCACAAACGGATCGCTGCCCCGCAGGCGCAGATCCTGAGCCCGTTCGGTAGGAGCGGTCCCCTCCCGCCGGAGCTCAGGCCAAGGTGAAGGATGGGGAGGAGGCAGCCTCTGCGGGTTGTCGTCTCCGCGAGCTGTCTTTGATTGCATGCACAGGCTGAGCATTTCAGCTTGCGCAGCTTCTCCGTGCAGGACTTGAGCCTAAATCTCAGCTGCCTCTTCCTGAGAGATGTGGCTCGGCGATGGGCCGCAGGCTCGATTTACAGCTGCTCTGCCGTGGCCTCTCGTTAGAGTAAATGAGTGCTTTCCGTCTAGCACGTCCCTCTGTGGGGCAGAGGCTGGCGCTGCTTCTGAAGCTATTACAGTTTGGAAAGTCCAGTGAACAAGACTAGTAAATACTGCAAAGGGATGATAACAAAATGACTCGCTTCTCCCAGCTGAGATGGAAGTATTAATATTTCAATACCTCTAGGCTGTAATTTACTGCGATTTAAGAAGATTGCACTGAGATCACTCAAATACGTGCTCCTCGGGGCCGGCCAGGCACTGTCCATCCGCATCGCGGTCCTTCTGCGCAGCCCTCATCCATCAGCCTTTGGTCTCCATCACTCGGTCCCACGTTCCTGCCAGTGACTTATCGCCTGCCAGTAGGAAACCTTTGCGTGTGCACTATGCCCACCCAACCTGCGAGGGCTGTATAAATTAATGCCCTCGGTATTTAGGTTAGGGTCAGCACATGTGTCCAGATGCTGGCAGCGATTTCTGGTTTAAAAATATTGCAGTGCTGGTTCTAAATTTTTAATCTCTCCCTGTGATTTGGAGGCAGTTTTATGAAACATGGAATTAGGATGGTGTTCAATGTTAAATGGCAAAGGAGATTATATGGATTTAACTCTCTGCGTCTGTCACATAACTATTGCCAATCCCATAACTTCCATTTTCTATTAAAAATCCATTTCCCCCTTTGACCTAAAAAAGCTTTAGTGGTAATCTGAATTTCCCTCTTTACTTATGAAGTATTTTTCCATTCTTTCCCCCCGCCCCCACCCTTCTGTGCATCTAATTGTGCACGGGGGATGTCTGGGGAGAAAGCTGCTCCCTGGCAGGCTGGGGCTGCTATGTGATCGTTGCATCTCCTGGCAGGTCGCTTGTCCTGCGAGCTGCGCCTCCCACCAGCGCAGGGAGACGTGGCCTCTTGTTTCTGCCTACCCGCCGTGAAGCACGTGCGAGGGGTCGGGCATGGAGAAATTCCTGGCCGCCATCTCAAGGCCCGGGTGGTGGCACTGGGGTGGGGATGAAGGAAGTGGGGGAAAGACCATGTCCCGGGACGGGGTTTTGCAGCGTCCGTGGCTCCAGGCCCGTGCGGGCCGGGCGCAGTACCCCCTTTGCCAGGGACCGGTGCTGGATTTTGTGCGTGTGGCACCTTTAAATGTGGAGGAGCCCAGGTCCGTGGTGCGAGCGGCTTCCTATGCAGAATGTCGTCGTTAGCAACCCGGCGCTGCCTCCTCCCTTTGTTTTCCTGAACCTCATTGTAAAGACGTGCTCTGCTCTCTTCTGGCTGGGGAGACGCCGCGCCACGATGATCATCAGAAATGCTGATTCACGGAGACAAAATGGGCGGAAGGTGTCGCAACACGGTTGTTCGTGGCCGTGGGGCCCCGTCTTGCTGCGGGGCCTTCCCAGTTGAGTGCTCGTGCCGGACTGGGACCCCGTGGCCGGCCCTGCACCTCCGCCGTTCATAATTCTCCTGGCGCTTGTCAGCCCGGCGTGACAAATGCATTCAAAGGGCCCGGCCTGTCCCAGTCTATCTCCGCGTGAGCTCACGCGGCTGCAAAGACACCAGGGATTGGGGAAATATGGAGCTACTTTTCTTTACCTATAAATCCTTAGTTTCATTTCCAGTGACATTTTGCTGGGCTTTCCCAGTCAATTCATCAGTGAAATCTCCCTGCTCGCAGTGTCCTTGACTTTGGACAGGAGAGCGCTGGGGGGGGTTGAGTGGCAGCTTTGTCATCCTGGCTCGTATCCCTGCTCAAAGCACGGAGAGGAACAAGAAGTAGGCTGTCTTGCTTCTGATTTAGTGGGTGCCAGGGAAGAGGAATTGGACTATATTTCCAGCTGTGTAAAGATCAAATAGGGGGGAATTGTCCAAGGGCTAGAGCAGAAGCTCCCCGAGAGAGAGTATTGTGGTGCCGGGACTCCTGGGCTCTTCTGTTCTCAGGTTTTCTTTGGATATACTGAGACACCAGGGCAGTTTTGTTTCTGTGCAGTGCGTCAGTTTGCCCATCTCTAAAACGGGTGCATTTAGCTCGCAGACTGGTCTGGCACCCGGCTCTCAGCAAACCGGTGTTGCTCTGCCCAGGTTTCCTGGAAGTGCCTCTCGGCTGCCCCAGCGCAGAGCGGGACCCGCCCCGACCAGCAATCCTGCTCCGCGAAGCATGTAAATGTTTCGGGTGCCGGTCCCAGGGAGCCTGGAGCCAGCTGGCGGCATGGTGCCGAAGCGCAGTGAGGCGCACCCGTCTCGGTGCTCATCCTGATGAAAACACAAATAGTTTTCCATGGAGGCAGGTGTTAATGGCCTCATCGCTGCTTTATGATGTGATGGGAATGGCTGTGGCCAATAACGCGGTAATCACCTCCTCTCAAACGAGCAGCCGTGATGCCTTCTCCCCAAAGGGGCAGCTGAGAGCTCGGCTAAGACCATTAGTACAGATGAGACCCTCTCCCCACCCCACAAAGTTACAGAAATTGAGGTCGCGGAGGGTCCCCTTTGACTCGTTTCCAGCCCGCGAGGCGGTAGTGATTTGCTCGCTGGCTCTGCTCGAGCACAAGCAGCGGGCCCGGCGCGATCCCTGCCAGAGCTATTAATACCCTGACTCTGCTTCGTGTTGTGCCCTTCCGCCTACTTGAAAGTAGTGCAGCTAAAAAGGGAAATGGGAGTTGAGCAGCTTGGCGCCATATCCGTCTTCATGGCAAACTTGCCCCCTGCCCGCCCCGTCCAGGTCTGGGGGAGAAGCGAGGCCGGGGGGTCCTGCAGTGGGGAGGAGGACGGGGGGCAGGAGGAGGGCCTGGTAGTGTCGGCGCCGTCCAGGACGCGCAGGGCCGGGCACCGCCGCGCTCTGTGCCGTTCACGCACCGCTTCGGGGTCCTTGTCCCCGCGCTTGGCCTCACCCGGGCACCGCTGGGCAGGTGCCTCCATCGCGGGCTCGGCCCTCAGCCCTGCAGGCAGAGCCGGCCATCACCGAGAGGTCCCCAGGCCTGCCTGTGTGCTGGCTGGGGAGAGCCCGCCGCCCCCGGCTAATCTGCTCGGGAAGTGGGCGGCCAGCTCGTGCTCAGGCCTGCTGTCCCCTCGGCTCCCGCCTCCCCCGTAGTGTAGCCAGGCCTCAGGCGCAGCTCGGAGCCCGAGGGCACCCTGCTGGGACCAGTGCCGGGGCAAGGATGAAGGCTGGGCAGGGCGATGCAGGGCGGCCACGCAGGCCACACATGGCCACGCTCCCCAAGGAGGCTGCAGGGTCCGGTCTGGCCGTCCGTGCCGTCCGGCCTGGGCGCTTGCTGACTTGCAGGGAGCCCAGACGAAGGCCGCCCTGGGCACGCGGCTAGTTCTGGGGGTCCGGCCCTGGGAGCGGATGGGATTATGTAGCTGAGGACAGCGGAGCCCTGCTGTGTGGGCGGCCGTCGCGTTTCCGCGGCACGTGCTGCTTTTCCCCGAAGTCTCGCTGCGAAGCAGATGTGCGGGGGGCGCGGGGGCGGTCGCTCGGGGGGCGAGGGCACCCCTGACGCTGGCACTGACCCGCTGCCGTCGGCTCTGCTCTCTCCGCAGCACGCGCCGACGATGTTGGAACCAGCCTCTACTTTGTGAACGACTCTCTGCAGCAGGTTACCTTCTCCAGCACGGTGGGGGTGGTGATCCCCTGCCCGGCCGCAGGGTCCCCCAGCGCCGTCCTCCGCTGGTACCTCGCCACAGGGGACGACATCTACGATGTCCCGCACATCCGGCATGTCCACGCCAACGGGACTCTGCAGCTCTACCCCTTCTCGCCATCAGCCTTCAATAGCTTTATCCATGACAACGACTATTTCTGCACCGCGGAGAACTCGGCGGGCAAAATCAGGAGTCCAAATATCCGCGTTAAAGCAGGTAGGGCTCCTCTGCGAGTGCGGCGGTGGCACTGGGGTTCTCTGCCCTCCCTCACGGCAGAGATAATTAACCTGGTCGGGGCCGCACCGGGTCGTTCTGGGGCAGTGTTTGCCTGGCGTGGCTGGCACGGTAAGCTAATGCTGCGGACTGCCCGTTTCGCCCAGGGGCACGGATGCTCTCGGGTGCTTGCGGCTGAGTGCCGGATGGGGCAAGGCTCCCGGAGCACTCGGCGGAGGGGGCGCTGCAAGTCGTGGTCGCGCTGCTGCCATGGGCCACGATGCCGCTTTGCTTCCAGGTACTGTATGGTGTGGGCCAGTGAATGCCACGGGGAGGGTTCCTGTCTGGTCAGCTCGTGGATTGTCCCCTAAAGACACGGACCTGCGTGTCGCACCCATCGCCAGCTGACCGCAGGGCCAGGGCTGCTGTCTGAAGACCCAGCGCCCCCGTGGACCATAGCTGGCTCCTTTACAGGGCACCTGTCCTGCAGGACCTCGGTAAAGATGCTGCTAGGGCAGGGAAAGGGGCTCGCCCGTCACACTGAGCCCGGCTAGCCCAGCGCTCTGCTCCCAGCAATGCCCAGGGCCCCCGGTTACAGAGGTGGGTGCAGGGAGGTTCGGGATTTCTGGGCAGGTTCAGCCTTGAAGCAGCGGCCGTGATCTGCTTCCCCGGACTTGCTGTTCGTGCCACAGGCTAGTTGCTGTAATCGCTTGGGTGGCAATGTCCAGACCCCCAGCAGACTGCCCTGCGGGGAACCCCCCAGCCCCCGGCGGGTCCTTGCAGGCGCAGGACAAGCCCTCGCCCCGCTGGGCCAGGGACAGCGCAGGAGGCGCAGGCGAGTGCTGGGGGCCAGAGCCGTTGTAGTAAATTATTGACCCGGCAGGGGAGAGCTGATAGCCTGCTTATGGCTTCATTAGGTGACCTATTAAGAGCAGGGCTAGTGCAGGGAGCCAGCGGCAGTGACTGAAGGGTGCTTTCATTTTAGTTCATTATAATGGGCATGATTCCCCCCTCCCCCGAGTGAATTATTTACCAGCATTATCAGGAGAGCTATAAATTAAAGCTGGGGGGCGAACTTGCTGGGGGGCCAGGCTGCTGGAGTTGCTGCTTGCCAGGGCCTGTCTGGGGGGGGCCCCCCTCCCGCAGGCTCCGGTCCGGCTGTTGTCTGAGCCGTGCCGAGTCCTTGTAGGCGTCTTCCCGTGCACCGTCCCTAAAGCAGGACCCTTTTGTTGTCCCCATCCTGAGGCAGCAGAGAGGCGAAGCAACATGGCCAAGGTCATCTAGAGGCCAGTGGCAGAGCCAGGGTTAGCACCTGAAGCTCCTGGGTCCCAGCCCAGTGCTCCCTTGTGGCTTTGGGGCCATGGCAGGCAGCCAAGCAATGCCCTCTTTTCCATGGGGGTGAGAGCAACACCCGTGTCCCCTGGGGTGGGGGCACACGGACACGCGTGGTTTGTCCTCGCCTCCTCTTTAGACGCTGGTGGTGTCTGTGTCTGTGCAGGGCCCTTCCAGCAGCAGCAGGCCCCGTACCGCTGATGGCTGCAGTGGCAGATTCATTGGGCTTCTGCCTCCTCGGCGCTGCGTGGAGCGGGCCTGGGAGGCTCGTGGTGCTGTGCGCATCGTGGCCCTGTCTCCTGTGGCAGGAGAAGGGTGGCTGCTCGGGCCCTGCCTGGACCTGCTGGGAGCTCCATGCTCTGCCCTCTCCATGCCAGGGGCCTGCTCCGAGCTCCACATCCAGCCCTTGGCTGCTGCACCACGCTGCCGGCTCCTGGCAGGGGCAGCTGCGGTCCCACGTGCAGGCACTCCCTCCTCGGAGGCTCGGCCTGCTGAGCTGCTTGTCTCCCGAGACCTGCTGAGCACCCTTGGCCCTGACCTGGCGTCGTGACTGTCCCCACTGGGCAGGGTGGGCTCCATCCCGCAAGCAGCTTGCAGTCATGGCCCTGCGAGGCTCCCAGTCAGCCTTATCTAGAAGCCCTTGGAGAGACTGGCTGGAGCGTGGGACCCTGCTGCAGCACCACTGCTCTCCCTTGGGCTTGGCGCAGGCTTTGCAGAGACTGCCTTCTTCGCCCAGGGCAGTGCAGCGTGCCTCGCTGGCCCCACAGACCCTGGCTGTGATGAGGCGGTGCTGCCCCTCCACGTGTGCTCTGGCTGGCTGCCAGGTGTTCCCTGCCCTGCGCTGGCCGAGTGTGGGTGCAAGGCGTGGTGTGAGGGGGCCTCTTGCCATTGTCCCGTGGCTTCAGGAAGACCAGCTGCGCTGCTCCCCTGTGCACAAGGAAAAGGTGCTGCGAGTCCCGGGACACATGCAAGCACCCCTCCACGCCCTCATTTGACTCATGCTACACCTGCACTCATTAAAACCAGAGCCTCAAATGGCACTGTGCTTTTCCGGAGCCCGTGTTGAACATCCCACCTGCACCGCGGGGGCTGGTGCGCGGCTCTCCCTGACTCTCTGCTTTTCTCTCCGCAGTTTTCAGGGAGCCTTACACCGTCCGGGTGGAGGATCAAAGGTCGATGCGTGGAAATGTGGCTGTTTTCAAGTGCCTCATCCCTTCTTCAGTGCAGGAATATGTTAGTGTTGTGTCCTGGGAGAAAGACACCGTTTCTATCATCCCAGGTAAGAGAGGAGACGGCGGGGGAGCCCTCGTGTTCCTGGCCAAGGCCCGCGCGCAGACACTTCTCTCGGCAGAGCGTTTGGGATTTCTTTCCTGTGTGCTCTCCCCAAGGGCAAGGGGCTTTGTTGGTGGCATTGGTTCAGAGCGGAGTCTCTGGGGTGGATCGATGTTGGCAGGGAGCCGTGTTTTACACCGTGCTCACGCGTGCGCCTGGTCGTTCCCTGGTTGCTGTCTTGTGTGCTGGGCCGGGCCCGTGAGCTCTGGGCCTTGTAGGGGCGTGGGATGGAGTTGTGGTAACGCAGGTCTGCTTCATGGCTGCTCCCACGTGCTTCCGGCTTTGCCAGCTCCCGAGTCTGGGCAGTGGTGCCTGGGCTGTTGCACACGACTTGCTGCGGCCAGTCCTGGGCCGTGGGCTGTGACTGATCCGGGGGGAGGGTGTGTGCGTGCGCTGGGGTCAGCTCATGAGAGTCCCTCCCCAGCTGAAGCCTTGTCCTGGCAACCTTGGGCCTGGGCACATTGCACCCCCTCCCCAGTGTGGCTCTTTGCAGGGAGCCCCATGGGTGGACGGGGCAGCCTCCCGCAGGAATGTGGGCTCTGGGCAGCAGGGCCGAGCCCCAGGTGACCCCGAGCACGTGGCTCCTAGTCTGCACCAAAAACCCCAGCTCCAGTCTCAATGGCACTGGCTGGTTGGGAACTTAGGACCCAAACTCTCCCATGCCCAGACCATGGCCACCTGGTGCAGACAGTGCCCGCAGGAGGTTGCCCGCAGCTGCCCTTGGATCATGGTGGGGCATTAAGGAGAAGATGGTCCCTTGACAGGGGAGCGGTCGGCGTGGCCCCGCTGGGTCCTGGGGAGACCTCTGAGTGCTCTCCGCAGTGCCGCATCGATGGCAGGGCTGACCGCCCGCCCCGTGTGGGTGAGCTCACAGGGCAGCCATTGATACTGCCCCTGAGGGATCCAGAAAGACTTGTGGGATTTTGCCTCCGGTCCATGCGCTGCATTGGGCTACGGGTCAGTTGGGGCTGGCAGTGCAGGGCGGTAGTGTCACGGGGAGGCACAGCAGCCCTTCAGCTGCAGTGCTCAGCCCCCCTGAGCCCGCGCCAGCACGGGCAGGCTGCAGCCACTTTGTTGGAGGCTTCCACGAGGGGGAATGTCCTGCACTGGGGTTGCAGCGAGGAGGCACCATGCGGATCGCAGCAGGGCCCAAGGCCTAGTGTGTGGCTCTCGGGTGCAGCACGCGTGCCCCTTGGCCAGCAGGCACGAGAACATGCGGAGGGAGGCTGGCAGGGGGTGCGTGCTGCGGGCATGGTGCCTGTTGCAGGCGGCAGGGTGGGATGCAGCTGCTAACCCTCCACTTCAGTACTTAGGCAGACAAGGTTCTTTGGGTGAATCTGATATGTTTTATTAGACCAACTAAATAGTTGGAGAACAATTTTTAAGCAAGCTTTCGGTTAAAAAACCCTTCGTCAGGCTAAGAAAGCTTCAGCAGTTGGTGTGTGCACTTCCTGGATGGAATGAAAAGTAAAAAAGCTTGCTTAAAAATTGTTCTCCAACTATTTAGTTGGTCTAATAAAACATATCAGATTCACCCAAAGAACCTCATCTGCCTCTGTCCTTAGACCAACACGGCTACAGCCTACACCCCTGTGATACTTCAGTACTTGGCACTTTTGCGATGGCGCCCTGAGCTCCGAGGTGCTGTCACAACATCTTGGGGATGGCAGGTGCTGTTTGTGTCCTGACTGCCAAAATAAGGCTCTCTCCTCCTGCATGCAAGTTCAGTGCGAGGGTCCTGAGCTGTGCTGGAGTGAGCGCCGGAGCCGGTCCACCCCGAAGCGTGTTTGCCCAGAAGGGCTTTGTTGGTTAGAAAAACCATGCAAATTCCCAGCGTTTCTCAGACTGCTGTCAGCACAGTCAAAGATCTTGCCGCCTGCCTCGTGGTGTTTGAAGAGATGCCCTACGGGGCCGACTGCGCGGAACCGGGGATGCGTGTCGGAGGTGGTGCCCCTCACTGTAGGCATCTCCTGCTCGATGCCACATTGGTGTTGCCCTGCTTCAGTGCAGGCGGCTGGCGTGCGCTGGAGAGTGGCACCTGCGGAAGTACGTTGGCGCGAGGGAGCTCCTTTCGTGCAGACAGGACCTAGGGAGACCGGTCAACACTGCTGGGATCCCAGCTGGTGTGAACGGGCATTGATTTCGGTGGCAAACGGCTAGTTCAAGTGAGCTGAGATCTGCACCGTTGACAACCCGACGGAGTAAAGCTCTGTTGCACTTGTGTTTCCTGCCCAGGCTTTCTGCTGCCTGGCACGGCTGCTGTGCACCAGCGCATGAATCCCTGCGATGCTTCCTGTAAACGCTGCCTGGTGGGTCGTAATGCCTGTAACAGCGGCGCGGCGCCCCGTGCACAGTGCAGCTCCCCCCGAACCGCGCCTGCCCCGCGCAGCGCTGCCATATGGACAATGGCTTCCGCACCAACTGTTTGGGTTCTTTCCCACCATTTCCTTAGCTGCTTTTTGTAAACATTCAAGCGAATTGCACTTTCCCAGGGAGGCTGGTTGGGGCTTCTCACTTCTGCGTTATCGGGTGCCTCTTCCTGGGAGCTGGGGCTGGCGCTGGCAGGCTGGGATTTGCCCCGCAGCTGAGCTCCCGTCTGCCCGCTTGTCTTATGGTGCCGTGTTTGTGATGGAGAGGGGGGCTGCAGCCTGGTGTGGCAGCGGTCTAGGTCCTGACTGGGCTGCCAATGGGCGCTCAGAGGCCTGATGCAGCTGAGGTCCTCAGCAGATCCCCTGCTGCAACCCGCTCCTTGCAGCACCGGCCTGCCTTCCAGATTCCCCTGCAAATGCTCGTTGGCACTGCAACGTTCAGGGCCTCACTAGCAGGATGGAGCCTAGAAGAGCCTTTAAGAGAAACCTCCTTTCAGTGAAATACTCCCCAGCCACCAGCAAAGACCCAGCCTATGATGTGAGAGGTGGGGTCAGCCTTCTCGGTGCCCGGGAGAAGGGCAGGGCTGGAAGAGGGTGGATGCTGGGGGCGGAAATGTGGTGAGCATCTCTATTGCTCAGCTGTGCATCTTCGCAGGGCCTGGGCCAGGACGTGCACAGGAGAGCGGGCCTGGTGCAGGGTCCGGTGGCAGAGCGGCGATACCCTCTGCCAGCCCTGCTTTGCCGGCTCTTTGGGTCCGTGGAGCAGTTCTGCCCTCGGGGCTGCTCCGCTGAAGAGTCCGGGTAGGTTCTTCCCTGCAAAGTTTGCAGCCTCCTCACCCTGGCGCTGGCTCGGTTGCAACCCAGGCTGGTTCTTGCAGCCGCGGTTGCGGTGGGTTTTGAATAGGATGATCTAATTAGAGTGGAACAATTTTAACGTTCTAAAGCAATAATTACCCTAAAGACAGAACATATAAATTGTGTTCCTGCACAGAGTCAACACAAGCAAACATATTTGCCGTTGGATTACAAATACAGCATTTGCCCGGAGCTCATTTTTATTTGCTCTGGTGTTAGAGAGACAACGGCTTGCGCAGCTACGAGCGGGGTCTTGCCTTGACCTCTCTGAGCCTGTGATTGTCCCAGTTCCTGCAGGGCTGGCGAGGGGGCGTCCGCTGCTATCCCTGCGCTTGGTGCTAGCGTTAAAATGAACCCAAGCCGACCCCCAAACCTCGAAGCCTTGTTCTGCCTCTAGATCTGCGTTGTGACCTGCATGTCGAACGGACCCCAGGTCTGTCCCTGCCTGGCTCGCCCGTCCCCATCCTCTGGGGAGAAGAGACCTGGGGAAAGATGGCTTGTTTTCAAGCAGCTGACAGAGGCCGTGGGTGGGCACCTGCCTTGCACGTCGTGACAGTATCCGTTTGTGCCCGTGTCCCAATGCCCAGGGCTGGTGCCAGGCTCGTGTGCCCGGGGCGCTCGGACTCCATGAGCCAGCCGGCAGCGAAGTCCCAACTCCCCCAAGACTGCCCATCAAAACCTTTACAACAAAAACCTTTTCCCTGCCCCCAGTCCCATGGAGGCTGTCTTAGGAAGCCTCTGCCTTTCCCGCTGTTTTTATTCCCCCCCATTGGAAAGCAGTTTTATTCCTGCCAAACCTGACGCGTGATGATTTTGGGTCTGGGGTTTTGGATGGACCCGTTGAGGCTCTCCCCGTGCAGGCTCAGGCTGGGCTCTGAGCTCACAACCCAGCAGGGCCTTGGGGTGGGACAGAGCCATCGCCCTCGGAGGCGAGCTGCTGGTGCGGATGCTCGTGGTCCGCGTGCTCACCTGTGCCAGGCCCTGGGGTCACGATGCTGCTGGAGCACAGCGGTCCCAGGGCAGCGCCAGGCAGGTGGGTTTGATGGGGAGCGACGTGGTGGGAGAAGGGCACAGGCCGCGTGGTGCCGTGGGTGTTTGCAAGGAGTTTTGCTTTGGGAGACGGCGCCCCTTCACACGCCGGTTTGGGTTTGAAGCTTGCCTTTTATGGACATCGCGAACCATTTTAATCGGATGCAGTGGGCAGAGCGGGAGGCTGGAGATGCGTGTTTCACAGCAAGCTGCTTTTTTATTACTGTTCATCTTAACAGCACAAACTGTTCCCTTTGCGATGGGTGCCTCTGCCTGGTGCTTTCCATCTCGGTCTTGACAAGCATCTCTTTCCAGGAGCACCCACTGGGTGCATTTCAGAAGAGATTTTAAAGCAATTGCAGACAACTGCTTTATATCTGTATCGCACCTCTGCAATGGCTCCTGCTTTTTGGTAGGGAGCTGCGTTATTTGCTTAACTTGGCAATGCTGTAACTTACCTTGAAATCAAAGATAAATTCTTTATAGAAGGTTATCCTGCACATAAATCATCATTAGCCTACCTCATTTTTTGTTTAATGCCTACCTAACTGTGCTGTCGTCTAAAAATGTGTGTTTAGTGAAGTCAAGGGTTGCAGAGAAATTACAGGGTTTTCAAAAACCCATTTGCTTTGCTGGTGCTCACATCAAAATCAATCTTGCCTTTAGTCTTCAGCCTTGTAGCAAACATGCAGCACCGCTCGCGGAGTAGCGTTTACTCCGAATAGCGCTCCCGTGCTCCCCGAGCGGTGGGCTGGGCGTGAGATTGCGTTCATGCCAAGGCTGTGATTTTGGACTCTGTTGCTGTCAATGAATCTGGATCCGTACTTATTTATTTGAATTGCAGCTGAGGGGAGTGCTGCCAAGGTCTTTCTCCTTTCTCCTGTAGGAAGAGGGGGAGGAACTCCTGCGACAGAGCCGCTTTGAGACCCACCTCAGTAGGTTGCTTTAAAAAAAGAAAAAGAAGAGCCGGCTCCAGATGGGAGAATACGGAGGAGTCCAGGAAACCAAATTCAGGTCTTGGATTCATTTACTTTCAGATGGATCGTCACCCTCATTTTTACTTGGCCCAAAGTCTCTGCCGAAGCCACAGAAGCTGCTTTTGAGTTGCTGTGCTCTAGTTATCACGGCATAGAAATTTCAATTTCAATAGCAGCGCATTGTCTTTGCGATAAGTACTGCACCAAATGGAACTTAATTTAAACAGCCATAGCAACTGCAAACCCGGCGTGTGCAGATATTCATGCTAAAGTGGGTCAAATACATCACGGCCCTACTGATGTGTGTGTTTATGGCAGAGCTTTCCAAGTTGCCAGAGCCTTTGGGAGCCCATCGGAGACTCCCGGGAAGGCACGTCTTTGTCAGCGGTTGCTTTCCCCCTTGTCTGCAGCCATGAGCTTCCCTCCCCCCCGTGTTACAGTGGGCGTCCAAAATCAGTAGGTGCGTTTGAAGGTGGGGGGGGGGCGGTGCTCAGAGGGCCGGGGGTCACAGGGATGTTCAGATAGCTCAGGCGTAGCCCTCTGGGTCCCAGGCTTCGGCCCAGACTCTACCGTATTGTGCTTTTGATTGAAGGCAGAGGCTTCCTGCTCTTGCTCTTGGCTGGGGTGACGGCCTCTCCAAATGCTGGTTTGACTAAAGGGAGAGCGTCTTCAGCGTGTGTGCGCCCATCACCCCTTGTTGTGTTGCATCCTGTTGCTCTGGGCAGCCGAGGGATGAGATGGGAAGAGGTCTGGCTGGTGTGATGGGCTCCTGTGGGCCAGCTCCATCCCAGCGGGAAGGCGTGCAACTGTAGGCTTGTCGTGATGGCTGTGGTGAGGGCCCCCGAGCCGGTCGGGGTCTCCAACATCTTCCCTGCTCCTGTCTGGCAGGTGATCCAGGACCTGCAGACATGGCTTAGGGGGAAAACTGATTTTAAAACGAAAAGGAATTAATGGACCGGCAAAGTTTGCAGCTGAGTCACCGGTTGACGCCTCCCAGTGATCACACACTAACTTTGTGAGCTTGAGAGAGAGGCTGGGAAGTGACTCCAGAGTCACGTTTTTTTCAACTCAGAAAGATGCATTTTAGTGAAAAGTGCTTTATTGTAGAGCTGTATTGTCTGGGGACTGCGGGGCCGTCGACGCTCTGTACTCGCTGCACGCCTGCACAGTCGCACTCAAAGCTTGATCCGGTCAGAAATGGAACAAGAGCTTTATTTTCCATCCAAATCTTCTGAATTTTGGTCCCTGTGAACCACCTTGGCCAGGAGCACCTCAGGTATTGGTTTAGTTTGGTCTGAGCGCTCCTCTTCTGCTTCGCCCGCTCCAGTGCTGGGTTCATCTTTTAAGCTGCCCTGGATGCCTGTGCTGGCAGCAAAGTAGGAAACGAAAGGGGGCTGGCACTTTAGTGGTTAAACGTGCCCACCTATCCCTCTGAAGTGAGCTCTTAGTACTTCCTCTGCTGCACCTTGGAACATCTGTCGCACGTTGTGTTTTCTCTCTCCTATTTTAGGAGTAAATGTAACTATATAAAAATTCCATTTTAATCCATCTCCAAATGTAATGAGTCCAGAGACGCAGCGTGAGGCTACCGAAAATTAAAAACACCACTAGTATTTATGGGTCTAATGTTCCCTCAGCAGGTCCCTTTATATTCGGCTGCATTAGAAATGGGCCGAGCATTTGCAGTATAGCACAGCACAGCTCGCGGAGCAAGCAGGTGGTGCTGACATCCTCCCCCTCCCCACGTGCCTGCTCGGCTGGAAGAGGGGGCGCCCTGGAAGATGATCCAAGGCACAGAATAGCCAGGACCCAGATAATTTACTATTGTCCCTTGTCAATAGGCTCTTTTTCGGGGCCATCAGTCTCGTGTTACTGAAGAAAGCTGGAAGCTGGGGTGGAATAAATGCCGCAGGGGAGGTGAAAGGCGAGCCTTGTTTGTGTGTTTATCCTCCTTGGGCTGGGACAGTGATAAGGGGCAGAGATGCCTACCAGCTGTTCCCTCTCTGATGTATTTATCTTTTCATGAAGGCCCAGGCTGCAGTCCTGCTAGCTCCTGTTGCCTCTCCTGCAGCAAGCAGCCGGTGCTGCGGGTGGGTCGGTGCAAGGGGCAGTGGATTTGCATCGCCTGCCGCCTCCCAGGTGGTCACCCGCGCAGCCTCGAGCGCTAGAGCCCATGCATCCCTTCCGACCCGACCCCCCAAGTTCACCCAAACACGAGGGGGAGTCCGTGGGGGCTGGCTGCCTAGAAAACTCAGGGGGACCCCTCCCTTTTCAGGGGGCGGCAGGGTGGGTTGTTAGCCAGGCATGGGATGCTTGTCTCTGGGCACCTGCCTGGCTTTGAGAGCTTTTGTCTTTCAACCTGAGTGAGCTAAGGGTGTGCGCAGCGTTGGCAAAGCCTTTGCCCGCACAGGGAGGCAGGTAGGCAGCTGCCTGGCTAGGGGCAGCTCAGCGTGCAAGAGCTGTGCATGGCTGGTGAGTGGCTGTGTGTGTGCTGAAGGAATGGCCAGGAGCTGGAAATGGTGGCACCGTGCTCAGCGGTCCCAGACCTGGGTGGGGAAGCTGCCCCGGCCTGGAACCACGGTGGGGCCCCGTGTGCTTGGTTCCCGCGTTGCACTTCTGTGGCTGCTATTGATTTGCTTCGTCCTCAGCTTTGGGCTTGCACCATACTGGCCGCTCCCCTCCCAGTGCTGGCGTCTTCCCTTGGGTCTCCTGCTCCTTTCTCCGGCAGTCCGAGCCCTGCTGGCTCCTGGCAGCCTCTCCGCTCGCATGCTGGAGCCCGTGCTGCTTGTTTCCTTTGCAAACTCACGACCGCTTAAAAGCACCAGTCCTGGAGTTCAGGCTGCTTTCCCAACGTCTGCGACCATGCCGAGGATGGTGAGGCAATGGCAGAGAGATGCACGTGGATGCACTCTGGCCTCTGCATGCTTTAGGACTGTGCTGTGTTGCCTTGGCCTCCACGAAGCAGCCCAAGAGGGAAGCGGCTGGGAGGATGGTGGCTGCAGCCGGTGTTGGAGCAGCTGGGCAGTGGGAGTCGGTGCTCCGTGTCTGTTGGGACCGGGTCACGACGGAGCAGCTCCTCTGCTGCTGTAGGAGACCGTTTCTTGCCCGTTTGGGGAGGTCTGATCCGCTCTGCTCCACCCAGGCGTCCCGCTGTTCTTGGGGCAGCCCCCCACTTGCTCCCAGGTCCGGCACTGACCGGTGGTGCGAGGCCCCAGGGCTGCCCGTACCCATGCGGACTTGCCTTGGAAAGTCTGGGCAGGAGTGGGACTGAGTTCCCCCCTTTCCCCTGTCCTGATCACCCTCCTCCTCCCCCCAGGAAGGAGGTGAAGCCTGCCCTGGAGCAGAGGCAGGGGAGCTG